TCTCGTCATTTGAGATGAAAATTCCATTTTTTTTTTTAATTTTGATTCTCTGCCGTTATATTAATACTTGCCAGTACGTTGACTAAGATTAGAAAATGTCAGTGTTCTTGAACGATTTTCCACCAATTACCACGGATGTAAAATTTTATCAATTTTGTTTATTAATTTACCAATGTTTTCCCTTATCTATCCTCATCCAAAAGCCCAAAGAAAATTAACCAAAAAAAAAAAAAAAAAACCAATTTTTTCAAAAAGTACCCAACATTAACACTGACAAACACATATGGCGTTTTTATTTGATTGGAAATTTGGTCAAAAAAATCCTCTTTTTTGGGATATCATTCTGTTTTTTTAGCATACTCTCTTTTGACATAAATCTTCCTTGCCAAGAAAAAAAAATCATTAAAAAAACTGAAAAAAACGTTTTAACGTCGACAATGGACGATCCTATATTGATCAACAACATGCAACCATAATATATGGCCAGATAAAACCCATAACCAATATTTTGCATTCTGTGATTGTATATCTTTTTTTTGTAACTATCATTTTTTTCCCTCTCTCTCTCTTCTTGTGAATTGATGTAATAAAATTTTATTATTATTGTTGAACATTTTTCCAACGAATTTCCACACGAAGCCAAATCATTCATGGCATGTTTATGACTTGTTTTTTCATTGGAAAAAAAGAGGCACTCTTTTTTTTTGTTCACAACGAACAAACGACGTTCAAAGTTTGTTCAAGGATAACAGCTAAAACTGCTCTTCTTTCATTAAGAAAGAAAAAACGATAAAAACAACGTTGTTGTTGCTGACCAAATATGGTAATCAAAAAAAATCAAAAAAACAAAAAAAAAGATAATTAAGCATGCGCATTTCGTAAAGTTGTTGCTGTTTTCCACACCCATATATGTTGTTCGTTTGGTTTTGATCATCTTTCAGCTTCTTCGCGATCATTCGATTGATCATCTCCATTCAAGATGGTGGTCTGACGACCATGGACAATCGTTGCTGTTGATGATGACGTTGTATGTTTCGTTCGAGTCGTAAGACGTATTTTTTTTTTATGACGGCCATTTTGTTTATGTTTGTTTATAACCATCGATTTCTACGTGACGAATCTTTTTTGATCTTTTGAACCCTTCGGTGTTTTCCGAAGAAATGAAAATTTCGTAACCAAAAAAAGGTGATCGAAAACACAACCTGATCAACAAGCCGAAAAAAAAACATTCAAAAAAAAGTTTGGTCACAGCCAATCAACCAAACTAAACGATGGATGACGATATTTGAATCATCGAATCTTTTTTTTCGAATCGATGCAGTTTTCCCCCAGTCCAAGTTATCATCCATTAACGATAATCAAAGATGGATGGTCTCGGGGATGGTGGTAAGTGAAGATTTTTGTCATTTGAGTTTTGCTCTTTTTTCACTCATTTTTGATATCCAAAAAAAAAATCAATTTTTTTCGATCATTTTTTTTCTTCAAATCATTTTGAACGCCATCTACATTTTACAAAAGAAAACATTTATTCAAAAAAAAAAAAATCAATTTGCATGTACGGCGGTGTTATATATGAAATTCAGGAATGATTTTTCCCTCTATCCCCCACCCCCCACACGCACATACTAATCTAACAAATTCATTGTCAAATTGACTTTGAATTCTTTTATTCAGTTCCAGAAGAACTGCATGAATATATTACTTGTTAGGAAAATAATGATCAAACAAGAAGAATAAAAACAATTTAAATTTATTTTATTTAAAAACAACAAACTTCAAACACACTACACACAACATCACATCATAAAACAAGTAAAAACAAAAATGGACAAATGTCATACATCACAGTATGTCTTTATATCTTTTCCTGATTAATGAACGTGACTTGAGGTCATAGTTCTAACATTCTAACATAACTTCGTCATCTCCAATTTCTTATTGATATCAGATTTCTCGTTTTCCTGTCCATATGAAAACTTCGGTCCCATCCGTATACTATTGGACTGGTTCAGTTGTACATAACATACGATGTCAGAAGCATCTTCGGTATTACTTTCATCTTGCAATGTTACATCCAAAATTGGTTTTCGATTATTGATGTTGTTGACCAAATTCAATCGATTGATTTGTTGATTATTTGATGGTGGTTGATCAAGAATTTCAATGATTAATTTCAATGGATCCACGTATCTGCACTTAGTTGGGAAATCAATGGCTGGACAATTTACACATTTAAATAAACCATTTAGCCAGTCATTGGCATTAAATCCGTTAGAGACAATTTGGTCTGCTTGGAAGTAAATTTGATTGAAGTAATTCCTTACATTAGATTCGGTTGGTTCGTAGCCAACAGTTTGGTGGTAGTGCCATGATGCAATTTCCAAGACTTCTATCTTTTCCAAATATTCGGTCTCCTTTTTGATCAATTTTCCATACATACTAGTTATGGAGAAAATTTCCAAATCTTTTGATTTTTCATCTGTATGTTATAGACTGACAAAATATTTTTATTTTGTTTACGATTTTGTCAAAAATTATTCATCACTTCGAAATGAGTATTTTGATTGATCGTAAATGTTTCAATACTTGAAGTTTCTTTAAAATCAATTTCCAATATTGTGCCGTGGGTGATCAACGTTGATGTTAATCAATATCAGAAGGAAAATTTTAAATTTCATTTTCTTCAATTTTTGTTTTTAAATTTCGGTACTCAATGAATTGGTAATTATATGATGAAATCACTGTGAAACATTGAATAGTGTGTTTTATTTGAGGAAAAGGAAAAACAAAAAAAAAATTTTGTATGGTGTGCTCACCAAAAAAAAAAATTATATTAAGAGAAGGTAGGAAAATAAAGGACCGTTCATTGATGACATTCTTACCAAAATTCGGTTTTGTTATTTTAAATGGTAATTTTGCAGTTTGAAGGACAAATAATAGGATAACCAAATCCTACTGGCTTGTAATTTGCACGGTTCCAAATCGAATAACGGACGGCCTATCCAAAATTGATTAAGATCCGGATAATCTTTGATGTTAAGGTTGCAGCTAAGATGATACTTTTCAAACTACTATGCACTACAATAACTCTCACTCTTGTACTAGAGATCGAGCATAAGTTCTGAAGAAAGATTTATTTTATAAGGTACACTTGTTGATTAAAACAAAATATATGTCATATACGAGAGTTTTCGATCCGAATCAAATCAGCTATTTCGACGTTGGTTTAAACTTATTTCGACCCAAGCTGTTAATCGGAAATTGATCAGATATCCGGTAAGCAGTATTAGAAGTCGGTGTTGGAAAATAAATAATTTTACACAAGTTAAAATTGTAAATAAAGAATTTTATTAAAATAAAGATGTTTCACAAATTATAAATCTGATATAGATCTTACAGCTTTCTAGATGCCAGTTCTCTCAGGTGGACAATTGTTACAGATCGACAAATTATTAAACAGTTGGAAAAAGGCTTTTGGAATAGGTTTGTCTACAGATTCAGAGAATACTTCATGTATTATTGTTTCCAATTGATAGAACTTTGAAAGAAACAATGATGGAATCTGCTGTTGATACGATAAATGTCTTAACCTTTCCATTTCTTGTTGTAATTGAATGATAGCATTAACCATTTTTGTATTAATTTGGTGTTCGATTCTGTACAGTTCCGCTTCAGACATTGATGTTTCATGTACTCCTGATTGACTTTTGACAAAGGCATCAAATCCAATTGTCGCTGCCACAACAATAATTGTTGCCACGACACCTGCTGCAAACGTGAGAGAATACTTCGTTTTGGTCTTGATTTTTGTTGATAATGAAGTGGCGTGCAATGTTTTTGTAGGGCATGTATTACGATTTGTTGATACATTCCTTCACATTTGCTTCTCTCTTCTCTATCATCTTCAGGTGTGATGTTTTTGTTGTTTGGAAAGATTAATGTGGAATTGAGAAATTTACATGGGGATTTTAGATGAATATCGACTTGTGCTTGAATGTATTGTGTTGCAACATTGTGTTTTGATTTACGCCAGATGATTGGATAAGAAATTGTATTTGTTTGAGATTCTACATTGATGAATTGTTGGATTGAAAATATAATGATGATAATTTGCAGAATTTTTCGAATTGTTTCAATCAATTTTTTTTTTATAAATAATGTAACACATTATTATAATAAAATTCACAGCTATTGTTTCAATAATATTGATATACAGTTTTTGTTGGTGTTCTTTCATTTTGTAATGACTGTATATCATAGCCAAAATCGTTGCTGAATCGCCATTAGTTACATTAAATTTTTGAACAGGATTTTCCTCTTCCTGTGGTTCATGTTCATCTTTCTCTGGCGCATCAATCTGTGTTTGTATGAATAATGGTACTGCATCATCTGCGATGATCGGATTCTCTTCTTCCTCCGGTCTGATGACTTCGGCAAACATTTTGGGAGACCACTCTTCAATTGGTGGTATCTCATAGATTGTTGGTATTATTTTTTCTGTTGTTGGTTTTTTACACAATTTTCCTGGAGTGTGGCTCAATATTATCAGCCAATCCAGTTGATCGGTGAATCGATGGTGGAACATCTAATGGTGTCCATTCTGCCGGTGATGATGTTGATCCGGTTTGTTTCTTGTTCCAAATTCTCAAAATATCATCATCAGTCATATCATGGTAATGTTGTTGATATGTCATAACAGTACCAATCAAATTTAAAATTATCAAAATATTGAAAATCATTTTTGATGAAACTTTCAATGTCGTTTTCATCATAATCGTTGTCGGTGTTGTTGTTATTTCGTAATTAAATATTGATAAATAACTTTTCCAAGAGAGGCTCATTGCTTTATATACAGATTCTGCAATGTTCGATTATCATTCACTGTACAATTCCTTCACCCCCTCTGGACTGAATCCATGACTGCTCCTACACTTGAGCCATGCTGATCATCTCACTGCGTAAGGCATTTTCCAGCCTTTCTCGACGCATGGTACGATATCTTACGGACTTCTTCCACTGATAACAAATGTAACATAGTGCAATTAACAATGCTACACTAGATACAATAGCAGTAGTCCACAATAAATAATACCGTAAATACGAGTTAGTGATTTTCACCACTAGTTGATCTTCTTGTTGAATCATTTTTTCGAGATGATTCAACGCGATCTCCGCGTCGTCCTGTCGGAAAATTTTGTTATTAACCGCATCTGTGAGATCAGTATCAATATTCGTGAATAGTTCCATCCTGACCTTGTGAAACTTTATGACTTGGTGATTGATGGTAACATTTTTTCCTTTCTTGATCTTATAGATTTTATTCGCACATTTTTCTTCGTTACCCATGATTGTTGTGTTCTGGGTATAACAATAATAGTATACGAACTCATTATCCATTTTGACTTGGACAATTTCTTCGGGTATGATCTGATCCTGTGGCATGCATTTGGTTTTCTTCCACTGTTTTACTACAGACTTCATTGCATGTCTGCAGGCTGGTGAATGGAAAACAAACGGAGTTTGATGTTCTTCTATAGGATCAAACACAATTTCTGCTGAACAACCTGTTTTTTCCTGATATACCACATATTGCGGACCGTTGTATTTCGTAAGACATATTTCCTCATGTCCAGTTAAATTCTTCGGTTCCTTTACTGCTAAATAAAATGGATCAGCTCTTAATAGTGTATAATCTTGATCCGTTTTAATGCCATTTACGTTAATAATCAATTTTGTTTTTATTCCATTTTGATTGATTTTACATTCTTCCATATGCCAGTATTTCTTCGGCGTGTTGGGTCCCATAGTAATTCCTGGGAATAATAATTCTAACGCATTCGCGAAACGAGGATTCTCGGAGTCGAAGATTTGGTGAATTAATTTTTCTGATTCACTAAATTTGATGCTCAACATGGTCATGACTCTTTCGGCTTCCAGTTCAGACCTTACTTCATACAGCTCGTCATGAAGTTTTCGGATGACTCCAAACATTTTTCGGTTTATTTCAAGTTCCAACTTACCCAATTCCGGGTCGTATCCATCATTGTGAGAACCAAAAATGTTAACTAGTCCGATTACAGCGAGAACGGAAATAACCACTTTTACTGCATTGTATGCAATACTGATTATTCCTCTCTTCGTAATTTCATGTCCTTCATCTTCAACATGTACTTCCTTGCAATATCTTCTTAATGGTCTTTTGACTTGCTTTATGTACAATGCTGAACATCGGAGCCGATCAAACTTCTCCAAGAAGCTAGCGTTTTTGTTGGTATTTTTCAGGTCTTCGATAACATCGCATGGATTTATAAGGTGAATATGGAATTCTCCTTGCACGATTTCCTTAGCTATATCGTGTGACGATTTCCTCCATACAATAGGATAACCTACTGTTTCCGCGTTGTTTCCAATAATTTCAATTAACAAAATGATGATTGTTATTAAGATGTTTGAATTCATTTTTGCTGGCACTTCACTTTATTTTATTCACAATGTTTAAAATGTTCACTTTGTTGATTCTAAAAGAAAACAAAAACAAAAACAAATCATAAATCACTATTTGTTCACTAGCACTTTCACTTTCACTTTCACTTTTATAGATTCACAGGTGAGTGGTAAGGCTTCAACTTCCCGATGTGTACACGTTCAATTCTGTTTGGCAATTGTATTTCATACATTCGTTCTGACAATACTTTGCAAATCTTGAACGGTCCTTGAAAAACTGGATCTAGTTTTTCTTTATTCAGTTCATCAGCTAAGTTCGCGTATACCAAATCTCCTTCTATAAAAGTCATTGCTTTTTGTTTCTTATTTATTCTTTTTATTGCTTCTTTATGTGATTTCTGGCTATTTGTAAATGCCAACTCTCTGAGGAATAATCTGATGTTGATTTTCTAATTGCATCTCGATTCAACAATTCTTTTACTTGTTGATCGATTCGTTCTTTATCTTTTACCGTTGTTCTATACGGTTTCAAATTTATAGGAATCGAATTTTCTAGGTTTATATAACAATATTCACCTTTAATTTGTCCAATTTCACCTTTTTCTTTGGCAAAAACGTTTTCATACTTTCTGATCAGAGTTCTTAATTCTTCATCTTCTATTTCTGTTATTTCGACATTTTTTAATTTAACTTCAACTTCATTTCTTTTGTGCGTTTCAACCATGTAATTTCTGCTATCTATCTTTTGATATACAATTCCATTTATATCACGATAAATTTGAAATTTCTTCATAGCATCAACTCCTATGATTACATCATGGTTAATTGGCAGCACGTAAAATAAATGATTTCTGACCATTACACCAATTTGGACTTCAATCTTTACGATTCCTAAAGCTGCTGTTTCAGATGTGGCTTGGTTAACAATTATTTCTCCTTGTTCTACCCATGGTAGTTTTAATTGTTTTCTTATTTCTTCATTAATGAAACTATGCGTTGAACCACTATCAAACAAGGTTTCATAATGTTTTTCGTTCAATAAAATTTTGATTTTAGTTAGTCCAGGTGTCATTAGTCAAGAAATCTGCTGAGATTTATCCTGTTCTACAACTTCTTTAATTTCAGCACTGGTTCCACTTATGTTCTGAGTTGACACTGCCGCTGACACTGGAGCTTCGATTCTTGGTACAGTATTTTGTTGATAATATTGTATTTGAATTCGTCCCTTGCATGTTCTTCATCATCGTTTCTTTGGTATTGTTGTACTGGTTCACAATTTTCTGGAACATGGTATGTTTGGGAGAACCATTCATTACATTTTCTTTCGAGTGGAAACTCACCCGACGACTCCCATTTTGTGTTTCTATAATCTTCAATTCTATTGTACAGATCTTCGGGGAGAGTCCTACCTGTTCCAAAGAGTTGAATTGCCATATATTTCCGTTGTGATTGGAATAGATATATAATTGTGGCAACCAATCTGCTGACGAGATGTTCTGTTGCAAACTTTCTGTCCCACTTGATGGAATATCGTTGTTGTCTGATGAATGTTGTGATTCTGCACTTGCAGTCTTGTCGATGATAGTTGTTGCAGAGGTGCAGCCAATGGATATGTGCGAAGCTGGTTCCGGCGGCGTGGATTCCCCAGATTCCGTTTGCAAACATCTTTGCCTTCCAAAATTTCTTTTACAACTTGTATCGATGATTGTGATACATTCATTTCATTGATTACAGCAATACGTTTATTAAACATGTTTTCAAATGGAAAATTCGATGTTTTATTGATATGGCTTTCCACATGACCGGCATTCCACATTAATTTTTTAATCATCGTAATGAAATACGTTTTCCCACTACCCGGATCACCAAAAATTGCCAATGCATTATGCTTCATAAAAACTTTATCTAATGTTGCATATACACATTTCATGAAAACTTTACATTGATATCTTGAATGAAATTGTTGCCATAATAATGTTTTTGCAATTTCTAAACTTGTTTTAATATCGTAGAATTCATCAGACCAAATACAACAATTTCTTATGGCAATTACTCTTTCCAGTGGCAATTCGTTCCATTCATCCAGAAAATCGTTCCATACCACATTCGTCCATTTATTTAACTGGTCACATTGCAAGATTCGAATTTCCTTCGTCAATTCTTTGAATTCTTTTAATTTATGTAATT